GTTTTGCTAGCAGATGAGATTTTTCTTTCTACATAAGCATTCACATTCAATTTGTGATAGAGTCAGATCTCTACGCAAGCATGTGTCATTCACAGTGGAGTGTTGTCTCACCATAATCGTTCACATGCTGTTTATAACTGAATTATGTCTGCATAATTGACCTGTTCATTTGAGGAATATAACTGACCCTGCCCCGGCCGCCACTCAGATGCGTTGCAAGGGTGGTCAAGTTCACCCAGTCTGTACACACTGAAATGTCGACTTAGCAGCACTTTGTTACTAAGCATTATCTTTAGAACATACTATCAGAAATCTTATTGACTAGAACCACCCCAGTGATTCCTGACACATAGGTCGACTGTTTGCATGCTGTTCACAGTGGAGCTGCGTTATCTCTTTGAAGTTATTGTCTCTGGGATTTGCGTCCAAAATTGTTTGCCTGTCGTTCTGTTTCGTCGCAAGCAACGTATTAGCCAGCGAGCCGTGCAGCCGTGATTTGCACGGTCAGTTTTGAAACTGCACGGCCAAAAAAATTAAAATTTAAAAATGTTCTGGGGGTGGCCTCCGTACCCCCCCTCCCAATGAGAGGGAGGACCCCTCTCATACCCCCCCCTCCGTGAATGCCTACGGCGGTCTTGGCTGAGACACACAAAAAAATTGCACTCCCACAATACTCATTCCTGGCTAATACCCTGGTCACAAGTGATAGCATGACCACCAATGCTGTTCTCCCATCTCTCTCTCTCTCGCTCTCACAGCTTGCAGAAGCTCTACAAGGACAGGCTCAACTACGTGCAGCTGCTGCAGCATCCGTTCATTAAGAAGCACCAGGACACCGACCAGGGCGACGTCGTCACGTTCGTCAACGAGGTTCTTGACTTCATGGAACAGGACAGCGCAGCGCAGGCCGCCGCCAGCTAACTTGTTTGCTTGCCATGTAGACGATGTGATCGCCATCGCCTCGCGAGAGAAATGATGTTCGTTTGTCACTGAATGCATAAGTGAGGGAGAGGGAGAGGGGAGAGAGGGAGGGGGAGAGAGCGAGAGAGAGAGAGAGAGAGAGGAGAAGAGAGAGAGAGAAGAGAGAGAGAGAGAGAGAGAGAGAGAAGAGAGAGAGAGAGAGAGAGAGAAGAGAGCCAGAGACAGAGAAGAGAGAGAAGAGAGAGAGAGAGAGAGGAGAAGAGAGAGAAGAGAGAGAGAGAGAGAGAGAGAGGAGAGAGAGAGAGAGAGAGAGAGAGAGAGAGAGAGAGAGAGACGAGAGAGGACAGGAGACTACGAGGAGTGACGACAATCGATGTAATCACGTGTTAATATATTCGATGCACCTCCTGCGAGGAGGATGAGGAGGATGAGGAGGATGAGGAGGATGAGGAGGATGAGGAGGATGAGGAGGATGAGGAGGATGAGGAGACAAACGTAGGCGATTAATTCTGTCGCGTCAAGAATCAAGTTGCGCGCAACGCGCACGCCACATCGTTTTACCGATAAGTTATTTGTGATAAGTGATCGTAATTGAGGTTTCTCGAAAGCAGCAAAAGCAAACAGCAAAACTTACAAGTTGCCACCACGTCTTTTACTGGTATCGTCAGAGGCTGTAAGACTGCGATCAGGTTAGGTAGGCCCTGCGAGACATCTAACCAGACATGGTGTAAGAAACGTATAATGTAGTTGACGAGCAGTTCCACGCCCGTCGCCGAGCATTGCCGGCGCACACGTGTATTTTACTACTCATTCTCATTATGCGTCGTCACTGCACTCGGTGGTCGTCGATTGCTCGGTAAACCATTGTGCGATGGGCAGGTCACCCATGCAATCTCTCAGCAAAGCTGCTCTGCGGGTTATGAGTTTTTATTGGCAGGCGTGGGTCGCTGAGCGGCAGCGCCACCTGACGGCTCAAAACCCACACCTGGATATTATTTCCAGTTGAGAAATATGGCAAGATATTTTTTAAATTGCCAGTAGTAGGCCAGTATGCAAATCAGAAGCCAGTTGGCAACAAACCTCTATATGCGTTGATCACGGTAATCGAAACGGATGTTTAAGATTGTGAGTGTAATTGGAACGGTGTTACGTTTTAGTCACAGTATGTGTAAAGGTTTTATAGTAGAACATTCTGAAAGCCAACGGAAGATTTTGGCTCGTAGACGACTATTATGTTCCATCGTGTTTCTGCATTTTAATCCAGATTCAGTGCATTTTAGGTATTGTGATGGGTTTTGTTTAGAACACGGCACACGTCAGTTTTTAGTCATTGGATCATGAAATCATTTGAGTGTGGAGTGCTGTGTGCAACTGTGTTCAACATTCTGTAATTTTAGTAAAGATGTGAGCGTTAATACAGTTGTTCCTTAGCCAACTGTTGGTAGCATCTCACGACATTGAGATAATGAGATCCATGGATGTCCTTTTGGCACTCTACTTCGTGTGTACTACTGTGACCGATTCTATTCGACAAGTAATACTTGCCAGACATAAGTAATCAATTCATTATAAGGATATTACCATAGTGCATAAAGTTTCGACTAGGTACATATCCCCATTGTCAGCTGCAAGATGGCTGATCATGTATATAGTTCATCAGTGTTCAAGATGCACTAGACAGTGATACAAATGATGGCACTGTGCCAATAGAGAACCTTTGTTGTACGTCGTTGGGTTGTTTTATTATGTAAATTTTGAGACTGTAAGAATGCTATTGCTAGAGAGCAGTGTTCACGTAATATTTTATGTATGCATTTATAAATAGGATAATCGCGGCCCAATAGGTGATGACTGAAGAAATGTTGAACATTATGATAGCATTGTGTATAACAATAGCCATATATGTATATGAAATATTGCATGAGCTGCTAGACTTCCGTGTTAGAGAAAGGCAATTTGTTATAGTAACTGTTAGTTGACTGTAGATTGCTTCTTTAGTGTTTCAAATATGAAGTCATCTACACAGCTATAAGGCGTGTGACGTAATTTTGTATGTAAATGCAGAATTAACAATATTAATGTTAAATATATACATAATTTTAAGAAACAATTTACTTATGTAATCTTTATTTAATAGTTTCCAGCTACATATTCACTAGTGGTTTTTCCTATATAGCATATAACGATTTTACGATAACGTATTAGCAATTTTTGAGAAATTACTGCATATTTCATTAAAAAAAACTTCAGCAGAATTCGAACAGTTCAAACCAATATGAAAAAATATTTGCATAACATGAATAACATCAAGAGTAAGATAATAAGGACTACTACTTATTATCCAACTCTTGATGATATCATGAGAACTCCCACATCACCTTCCTTCAGACAAAAAGAAATTGGTGAACCCATTCTCTCTGCACAAGGCCACGTGTACTTTGCGATTCACTGTGCGCTGGCTTGGAGGACGAGTCTTGTGTGGCCTTCAGATGCCTGCTTGGCATCCTTTATCTGCTTTAAATCGACGGTCAACTCCTTTTCACGAAGAAGTTCGCTGCGCTGTTCCTCCAGCTGGTGGCGGTGCTCGTGCAACGTACGCGTGCGGCGTATCAGCTGCAGTAGCTGGTGACGCCGCCTTCCGTTCTCGTCTCGGATCGACTGTATGTGGTCACCCAGACACCGTGATGCCTCCTACAAGCAGGTTGCAGAAATATAAAACCAGGGTGGTCGCTTTTGGATTTTCTCATCCCCGACTATTCCCGGACGTCCCTCCGACTTCAAAATCTCTTGCCCGACTAGTGGAATGCAAGATTACATTTTATCTCGTTATCTAAATTCAACATGTGTAATGTCCCGGGCGATGACCGGGTGTCTAGATGGTTAATCCCGTCTTTAGGCTTTTTGATATAATTTCCTGATTTGTAAAGAAAACGAATTTCTTGATTTACAGGCGACTGGTGGCCATCTTAAATACGCATTAATCTCAATGTGAAACATACTGTTGTCTCGTTGACTCGTTCACAACTCTTGTGACTTGCTTTTCCCGCTTCTACTTCCGGCGCACACACACGCATCTCTATGTCCATACACTTCTGTCTAGATATTATGTCTAGATTTCTATACCTTGCAGGCCAGCTGCTGCAGACCAAACACCTGCTTGTCTGCCTGTCGCTCAAAGCTCTGCTTCTGCTTAAGAAATCTGATTTTCAGAGACTGTATGCTGTTGGAGTGGAGAGCTCGCATCTGTAGAATGTCTTTCTCCAAATGCTGTATGCACTCGGTCTGCTCTCTCTGGATGTCCTGATCAACCAGATGACATTTGTGTATAAAGATGTTAGTAGCTAGCTAATTCATATTCCTAGGTTAGGTAAGAGATCCATATTTAGAGATACAGTGGTCTTAAAGTTGGATCCTTATCAGCCATGATTGTGTTGGATTATTTGTTCTTGACTTTGAACAATTGGGTACGTAATATTCTTTACAATCAACCTTCCTTGTAAATGTACTTACATAGAATGTACATACCTAACCTGATTGCATTATGTCTAACAACTATAATCTAGAGGTGCTCTATTTAAATGTGCTATACTTGAATGAAATGCAAACCTTTAGAGGCTGTAGCTCACACAATTGCTGCCTTGTCCGTGAAAGAATAACGTCTTTCTCCAACAACTCATTTTTTGAGACTAAAAAAAGTAAAAATTTATAGAACCTATAAACAATCAATGATCTCCTCGCTTTAAACGTATTTTTACAAAAGCAAGAACAACAATTTTATTTATAAGAAGATACAATTGCAAAGAAACTAATATGTGAATGGTACCATGCTTTTCTCTTTCAAAGTCCTCTTGAATTGTTGATTTTTCGTCCAAGATCACCTGAATTTGCTCTTTATTGTTGTCATTTAAGGAACCCATGGCATTATCTATCTTTGTGGTCTTTTTTTCCATGTATGCAAGGTAATCTTGCTACATTAAAAAAACAGTTGGTATTAACACTGGATGCACACCTGCTTCTTAAAAACAGCACTTCAATGACATTAGTAATTAAGTAATACCAAAAAAAGACAAGAATAGATATAATAATATGCAAATATCAAGTTTCATTTTATAACAAACCATGTCCTGCTTAGTTGTTTGAAGCTCTTGCTGGAGCCATTCCCTTTCTTGCCTCCTTAAATTGAAATAATTGCGAACATTGAGCAGTCATGCCGTTACATATGCATTTATTTAATTGGTATATATATATAGCATAGGCCAAGTATATATATACATTTTATTGTTGTTATATATCACCATAGATTTGTTTAACAAAAGATGACAACAGAGGCTTTCTCAAAACGCTGGCTGCTGGTGTGAAAATTACTACGTTTTTTGTGCAAGGTGACGTGCGGGCGGTGAGATTGTGTATTTCAAAACAGAATTTGAACGGCATTTATATCATTTACGTGGAATTATTAGTCGACTAAAGAATACAATTATGCGTACGTAAACACTGAGACTTTAGTAGTAAATAGGATATACATGTCGTATAAAATTTATTTACCATCGTGTTATTATTGAAACATTCCAAGTGCCTGTTCCCTGTATACTTACAATTCTGCAACTGTTTTCATTAGTGAAGAAAGCCTTTCCGTAACGCTTGTCAATCTGTAAAATATCATTCTCATATGATATGTAAAAGTGTCAATGACACTGTAGCTCACCTTGGGTGTGATAGAAGAGGGAGGGGGGGGGATATATAAAGCAAGGGTATATATGGGAGAACTCCCATTATATAGCATATCTCCCATTATATACTCTTGATAATGATATATGCATAAGTTTTGATGCAAAAATAAATGTTTTAGATCTGAAAGTCTGAAATCTTGACGAGAGATTATGCCAAAATGATCGCCATTATGGTTTTCGAATAGCGCGCAAATAAAAACAATAAAATATTCCAGTCAAATTAGTGTAACGAATAATCTAAAACACAGTATTACACGTATATATATATAGGTATGATTGTAGAGTTGTTGATCAGTTAGACGAAATAAACGTAATAGGACGTTGTCATCTCTCCCATAGGAGTAACAACTGTTTTGGGGAACAAAACAGAATGAATTTAGATGGCCATTTTCATTTTCGCCATGTGGGTCAAACGGTTCTTGAGTTATCGTTGACCGTAAGCAGACACTGAAATGCATCTAGTGAAATTGCCAAAATCTACCTAATTTGCATAATTTTTAAAAAATATCAAAATTAACCCGTGTGATATGTTTTGGGGCTAGTCCTTATTCATTCACATACTAGAAATGAGCAAAACCCACTGAACCTGAACTGACTTGTGGCCATTTCCATTTTTGCCAAAAAGTGGATTTGGCTCGAATGTAGGTCAACTGGCGTACTCCAAAATAGGACGTTCAAACCTCTCCCATAGGAGTAACAACTATATGCAATTTGAAACATGTGGGTCAAACGGTTCTTGAGTTATCGTTGACCGTAGCCAAATGTTGACGGACGGACGGACGCACGTACGACGGACGACACCCCATGGCAATATAGCTCATCTTGACGATGTCAAGGCAAGTTAAAAATGATGGTAAATAAACATGAAATGTATTTACTACCAAAGTTGTAATGTTTTTCTACTTTTTTTAGTCTATTGTTATAGTAATAATTCTCTGTAAATACCTTTCAAATGCGCCTCGGTAACATAATTTCACTGCTATATTTCTATAACTGAACTATAGGCTGAAGCAGGCCCGTAGCCAGCTTTATATTAGGGGGGGGGGTTCGTTTTTCAATGTTGGCAATTTGCTCGGCAGGGGCGTGTACAGGATTTGTACCAGGGGGGGTCTAACCATAACCCAAAGTTGGGAGCACGCGAAGGGGGGGTCTGGCGTTGT